TTTATTTATTTATTTTTATTTCATTATCATTATTATTATTTTAATACAAATGCCAATAAATAGAGCTTCTGGCGAAAATAAGCAATGGCTTATGAATGGCGACTTCAGGCTTGACCTCTTGAATTGGGACTCCAAGAGCTTGTCTCAATTTTAAACTCTAGACTATTTTAACAACTATCACAAATGCAACCCGAGTACAAGGTAGCTCCGTTTCTCTCCTAGATCACTTGTAGACGAATTTCTTAAACAAATTAATCAAAAGTAGCATCATTTATTGCTACATTTCAGACCATTTTACAAGTTTTGAAAGATTTTTCCACCGAAATCAAAGATTATGAACCCCAAATCTTATAGGCCATATATTACTACCGAAATATAATCCATAATTAAAGAAAATAACTAACTTCTAAGTGAATTCTTTAAATGGCAACTCACATGCTATTCGTAATTGCGTCATGTATTTATACGAGACGCCAAACGTAATTATCATGGAAAAGAACAGGAACAAAATTACGTTGATGTAAAAAGAACATGGAAAACCTTACGCAGTGTTCTACATAATAATGACAATCAGCCAAAGAAATAAATCATTAATGACTCCGAAATCAGTGGCCCCACAGTCATAATTGAACTACGCAGATATTTCTCAAGGACTGGCCACAGAACTATCCCGGTCAGTTCCCTATGCAGATGGAGAAATCAGACTCAAAATTATTCTCCAGGACATGACAACATCCCTGTGAGCATGATCAAAAGAATGATGAAACCACTTTAACACATAATCAGCCTTTCTTTTACCGCTGAAATTTCCCTGACAGATTGAAACTAGCAAAGCTCTGCCCTCCCTTCAAAATAGAGAACTATGTGTTTAAGCAATTTTCGCCAAACTTATGTCCACAAGTCTAATTGATTTTGGATGACAGTGATATGATTAAAACATCTCAATGTGGTTTCATAAAAAAATAAATCCACTGAAATGGTTGCCTCTGATTTTACCAATGAAATATTGAGGTCATTTGATGGCAGGACATTTGTTATAGGAGCCTACCTTTCTAAAGCACTGTCACCCATAGTATTCTGCTGTTTAAAATTAGAACACAATAGTGTAAGAGGCTCTTCTCTCGCATGGTTTACATCATATCTCACAAATAGAAAACATTATATATATATTATAAGGACAGTTATTCTGTCAACACTTTTTCCCCTGGGCGTACCTCAAGGTTCAATATTAGGCCCATCCACTTTTGTATACATGAATGTCATGGTTAATACCAGCTCACTAAACATCTGTTTATGCTGATGATGCATGCTGCTATTCTTTAGGAAATTTGATTTTGGATTTAATAAATGCGACTTATAATGAACTAAAGAATATCAGAAAATGGGTCATACTAAATAAGTTAACATTAAATGGTGCAAAAACACATTCCGTAATTTTAATAAAGAGATGTGGACTAATGTACCAAATACGAAATATTTTTACTGTAGAAGCTATCTAACATCTCTCACCTGCGGTCAAATAGTTTGGGGAGCTACAAGTGTCAACTCATTAAAGCCATGACACACAATCTAAAAACGAATCGTACGCACTATACGAGGACTAAAGAGGCGCGACCACACACATGATGACGTCGTAAATCTGAACCTCCTAAAGCTTAAGGAAATCAACGCTTACTTTTGTGGAACATTTATTTTTAGGTCTTAATTCTCCTGAAAAACATACGTTTATCTACAGAATTAACGAAAGATATCCCGTCGAAAACAATAACACCCCTCATGTTCCATTCATGTGATCCGAACAGTCAAAATCCAGTATCATTTACCTTGGCCCATCAGTCTGGAATAACCTTCCTGACAGAATGACCCTTTGTCCTTAACCCTTCCTACCCCCTCTTTCTACTCCTTTAACTACTATACTATCATATGGCCGTTGAAATATGACATTTTAACTCTAACAAAGAACTTTAAAAGACCCTCCCACCCCAATACAATACCATAGTGCTATGTGACCTTTGATCTCAAGCACATTTATTTTCTTGTGTCACTATTACTTACTTCCTGGCATAATACGGATCTGTGCATTACATGCCTTCAAAACGCAAGTTGAAAACTTTACCTTTTGTCACATTATACATCATATTGTAATACCCTCTTTCTTTCCTTTTTGTTTATCTTCATAATTATAAATTGCATTTTACAATTTAAATCTTCATAAAAATAACCCTGTGTTAAATTTACTCTAAAAAACATTGTAATCAGCTATATCAATGCATGTATTATTCTTTCAATATGATGTTAATCTACCTAGTGTTTGTAGAAACAGTTATTGTAAGTATGATTCTTATGTATTAATTTTTATTTTACGTCCTATACAAACTAGTAAATGTTATGATGATCATGTTTCTTAGATAGTGTTTCAAGGGGCCTTCCTGAAGGAGTGATATTCCAGGACCCAGCCAAGTTACCTATAAAATGTAAAGCTAGAAATGTACATTATTTG